TTGCCTTTTTAACCCAAAAGAATCCTCCTGTCAAGAAGGAGACTAGAGTTCGATCCCTGGGTCAGGAAGATCCCCTGGGGAAGGAAATGGCAACCCACTCCAGAATTCTTGCCTGAGAAATCCCCCGCACGGAGACACCTGGCGGGCTGCAGTCCATGGGGTCAAAAAAGTCAGACATGCCTTAGCAAATAAACAACAACCCAAACCCAAACCCAGAAGACTTATTCAAGGTCTCCCAGTAACTCACAGTGCCCTGAGGACAGACTGTGTATCAGGTGCTGTTCTAACCTCCTAGGCCCGGACTCTCTGGATCCTCATAGTATATCCACTGACAGGCACTGTTGCTATCCTTGTTTACAAACGGGAAGCTGATGTGAAAGCTCTGCCTCTCTGTACACCAGGGCTAAATCAAACTAAATCAAACCTCTCTGGGTCAAAGCAGAAAAGGACAGCTTTATTAGTTAGCCAGGCATAGGTAACACAGAGGGCTCCTGCTTTGAAAAACTATGTATCTCTACCCCCAGGGGATTTGATGAGGGGTTTTGTAACAAGAGTCTAAGGGTGGGGTCCTGACAAGATTAAGGTGTGTGCAGGGCTTAATCTTGTCTCAGCAGGTTTCTGGATGCTCCTCCCTTGATTAGCAACTCTACCCTTTGAAATTCAGGGAAGGTCACCAGAGGCTGGTGTCCTGTCTACAAGAAACAATGAACAAAATGGCCTCCATGCCCAGGAGCCCTATCGGGCCTCAGTTGATTTTGAAATCTGAAGCCCAGGGAGGTCAAGTGTCTTCTCCAAGGTTCTATCTAGAACTACAGAGTGGTGACCCTCAAGTTTAGGTTCTGCAAGCCAAGATGTAGATCTCAAGGGTTCCCAGATGGAGCTGTGCTTGAGATGCTACCTTCAGCAGGAATTCCTTTTCAATGCTAGCCCTTGAAAATGAAGACTTTTCCTTCATTTCTTGAGAAAATCGCATATTATCATAAAGCCAGAAGATATTAATACTATGCTTGACTTAGTTCCCAGATAAAGCACAAATGTGGCCTAGAAGTAAAGACATAAATTGGAGTAAATTGTGATTCCAGCAATAAAACAAGGAGCGTGCAGAGAGGCAGCAAGAGAGATGAGCCCAGTGAGAAGCCTGGCCACCTGTCCTGAAACCGAAAGGACCAGTCTAAGTAAGGGCCGCGCAGGCGGCGAGTAGGCTGAAAGCCTTGCCCTCACCCAGTTCAGTTCAGTTCAGTTCAGTCGCTCAGTCATGTCCAACTCTCTATGATCCCATGGACTGCAGCACGCCAGGCTTCCCTGTCCATCACCAACACCCAGAGCTTGCTTAAACTCATGTACATCGGGTCGGTGATGCCATCCAACCATCTCATCCTCTGTTGTCCCCTTCTCCTCCCACCTTCAATCTTTCCCAGCATCAGGGTCTTTTCTTTTCCAATGAGTCAGTTCTTCACATCAGGTGGCCAAAGTATTGGAGCTTCAGCTTCAGCATCAGTCCTTCCAATGAATATTCAGGACTGATTTCCTTTAGGATGGATAGGTTAGATCTCCTTGCAGTCCAAAGGACTCTCAAGAGTCTTCTCCAACACCACAGGTCAAAAGCACCAATTCTTCGACTATCAGCTTTTTTATGGTCCAACTCTCACATCCATACACGACTACTGGAAAAACCACAGCTTTGACTAGACGGACCTTTGTCAGCAAAGTAACAAGGTGCCTGCTTTTTAATACACTGTCTAGGTTGGTCATAGCTTTTCTTCCAAGGAACAAGCGTCTTTTAATTTCATGGCTGCAGTCACCATCTGCAGTGATTTTGGAGCCCAAGAAAATAAAGTCTGCTCACTGTTTCCACTGTTTCCCCATCTATTTGCCATGAAGTGATGGGACCAGATGCTATGATTTTAGTTTTTTAAATGTTGAGTTTTAACCCATCTTTTTTACTCTCCTCTTTCACTTTCATCAAGAGGCTCTTTAGTTATTCTTCACTTTCTGCCATAAGGGTGGTATCATCTGTGTATCTGAGGTTATTGGTATTTCTCCCAGCAACCTGGATCCCAGCTTGTGCTTCATCCAGCCCAGCATTTCGCATGATGTACTCTGCATATAAGTTAAATAAGCAGGGTGACAACATACAGCCCATCTTTGCATGAAATGTTCCCTTGGTATCTCTAATTTTCTTGACGAGATCTCTAATCTTTCCCATTCTATTGCTTTCCTCTATTTCTTTGCATTGATCACTTAGGAAGGCTTTCTTATCTCTTTCTGCTATTCTTTGGAAGTCTGAACTCAGATGGATATATCTTTCCTTTTTCTCCTTTGCCTTTAGCTTCTTTTCTTTTCTCAGGTATTTGTAAGGCTTCCTCAGACAACCACTTTGCCTTTTTGCATTTCTTTTTGTTGGGGATGGTCTTGGTCACTGCTGCCTGTATAATGTCACCTCTGTCCATAGTTCTTCAGGCACTCTGTCTATCAGATCTAATCCCTTGAATCTATTTCTCACTTCCACTGTAAAATTGTAAAGGATTTGATTTAGGTCATACCTGAAAGGTCTAGTGGTTTCCCCTACTTTCTTCAATTTGTCTGAATTTTGCAATAAGGAGTTCATGATCTGAGCCACAGTCAGCTCCCAGTTTTGTTTTTGCGTATAGAGTTTCTCCATCTTCCCTAGGATTTGTGGAGCATTTCCCATAGGAATGGTAGCATGACAGTACCACCTGTGAGGCCTTGCACAGTACAGAAGTTCGAGATGCTGCTCTGTTGGTAGTTTTTTTTAGGAGGAGATTCTCTATTTAAGAAGAACTATTAGGGGAGGAAATTACCACAGATGGGACCTGAGGAAAGCATTTGTTGATCAGTATCTATCATTTTGGAGCTGCTGAGAGGTGCCAGCAATGCCAGGCCACTCAATTGGGCCTTGTCTGCGTGCTCATCTCTGTGACCCAGGATTTATTAGCACAGTGCCAGGCATACTGCAGGTTCTGGATAAATGCATCTAAAATAGCTGAATGAATAAACTCCCTGTGGGTGACTTGCCTGGGGCCTTAAATGCTAGGTTGATAGGCAAATGCCAGTTATTATTTTTATGAGTCGCAGTAACAATAAATGCCCAGCAGAGGTCAGAGTACAGTCTCTGGGGCTGAGTCAATCATTTCATCAATAAAACATTAAAGGACATAGAGAAAAAGAGAAAGCCAACACCTGCTGGCACCTCGCATCTCTGCCAGGCATTGTGCTTGGGGCCTCACATGTGTTTCCCTCTGAATATGTGTGACTACCCTTCAGGACACGGAACTATATTTCCGACTATTCCCTCTCACCTCAGATGAAGTTTTTTTCCAACACTGACTCTAATTACAAAAGATTCCTCTTTTTCTTCTCATTATAAATGTTGCCTCATTTCATGCAAACCAGCTACTGTATCAGAACTGAGAACTCAACTGAGAACTCAGATTAGAGGATTCATCAAACACAATCCAAACAGACTGAATTCTCCAAGGTATTTAAAAATGAGAACTGGCAGGTAACTGCCCGCCTCAAATGCACACAGCAAGATGGTCTGCACGTCTAAGTCTAAGCAGACACCTCACTTCTTAAAGGAGGCTTCATGGATTCTCACTATTAGTTCTCTCCTATTTCCTTAATATGTCTAAGCGGTGTGAAATCAATATCCATCCTCTCATCTAGAAAATGGCTCAACATGATCATGGGCAGTGGCTCTTCAAAACTTTCTGATCAGCCTATAGAGGTCACCGCCACAAAAGACAGAGAAGAAGTCTACCTTCTGTATGGATCAATATGTGGAGGCCTTCTTGTAAAATCTGCTGACAAAGTTGGACAGGAAATAGGATATTACGTCTCCATGAGATAGGCACTTTATTTAAAATAGACCCTGGCCCCAGAACACTCGACAGGAAACCACCAGCAACCAGCCTCCATGATCAAGACACCCGACAGCCAGATGCAAGCCCTTCAAACCAGTCCCCTTACATTTGATGATCATCTTATTTTTTTCTTTCTTTTTGGAAGGTCTGTTAGAAGCATTTGAGAGGGGTTGGGTAATGCTCTTGGTAGCTGCTGGCGCCACTTTAAGTCTTAATGAGTATGGTGCTGTCAACTCATAAATCAACCCCAGCCCACTCTCCCTTCCAACGGCTGCAGAGACTCCTCCAAACACAGCCGGCAAGCCCTGAGTGGTAGAACCAGTTCCTCTGACATCTAGAACATCTGGTTCAGTTAAGGAGGGAAAGGAGATACTGGTACCCCAATGCATTTTTATGGGGCTTGCAAAGTCGTTAGGAGAGAGATATTAGTTCCAAAAAGAAAGAAAAAAGATAGCGTTATGAGGCCACTGCACACATTTAGAGGTTATTTTTATAAGTATTCCCTGAAAAAAAACCTCTACATTTTTCAAACGAAACTCCAAGAAACCTGATTTAAGTCAGAAAAGTGAAACAGAGGTTTGCTAGCCACAGGAAAGTGGTCAGATGATGAGATGCAGAGCAGAACAGAGCACAAATGGTTATCAGGAAATCAGAAGCTCAGTGGGTATTTCACTCATATAGGTGGGCATTTCACCAGCTGTGCTCTGTGACAAAGCCAGCAGTGTGGCTGGGCTCCCTGAGGAGAGAGTCCTGGCAGGACAGGGCCCCTGGGCAGCAACGCAGTTGTTTTGTTCAGCTTAAGCGTATACCAAGACAGGGTCTGATGTAAGGAGCCTGCATGAGGCTTGACAGCGAAGAGAGCGAGCTGGAGGTAGGGGGTGGGTGAGTGGCCCTAAAACCAACTATTCCTTTCCCCTTGAAATCTGAGTTTGGAAATTGAGACCCTCGTTTCTCCCAAGTGACACTGCTGATCTGCACCCCCACTGGTTTCTCTGGAGGAGGATGGTCCCTTCTAACCCCTCAAATGTCTGAGCCAAGGCGAGAAGAGCAAGAGCCCCACACTCCTCCCCACTGGTGCAGAAGGGGAGGCAGGCAGGTCACTGCCTTGTCACTGACCTGCTGTGGAGGGCGGAGTCGGCGAGGACGGGGATGTGAGAGGTGAGCTGGCCCCAGATCCTGCTAAGAGAGAAAACAGAGAAAACCCTCATGGGGACCAAAGAAAGACATCTGGAATGTGGCCCGAGCTGGGACCCACCACTGTCTGAGCCCCTGCACTTGGCTCACGTGTGGACGTGGCAGGGAAAGGCAGGCGGGACAGAGTTCAGGGACTGGACCCGTGACTGCAGGCATCCACCCCAGTGCAGGGCGCATTTCCTTCCCCAGGCCTTGCTGCCTCCCACCGCTCTCCACAGCCTGCTTGGTTTGAAATCAACTTTGTGGCATCCAACAGCTTATGCAATTGGCTACAGTCTCTTGTGTGGACCCAACCCCTCTTCCTGGATAATGAATGACAAATGACAGAGCCACAGCAGAACAGGTGACGGAGGGGCGCAGGCCAGTGTAGTGGAGGCCTCTCCAAAGGAAGCGAGAGGTCTCCAGCACATCCACCCGGCAATGCTCCCTGCGCAAGTGCCATTTTACCAGCAGGCACCCTGAAGTGGACAGGATCAGCCTCTTCAGTGTGTGGACTTCCCAGGCTTTTTCTTACCTGAAGTTCAGCAAACACCCTTATTTACATTAAAATAAGGTGCATATCCCCATAGATTGTATGCTTTTCCTGGACCCAGTAACATTGTTATATTTCAAATACTCCCAAATTCCCCAGCATCACTTCCGCTGCTCAGAAATCCCCAGAATACACCCTCCTGACTTAACCTGGAAGTAGCCCAGTGAGCAGATAGAATAGCCTACACAAGCCCCTTCCCTCACATGGAGGTCCTAGCGAAGGATTACCAGAGCTCCCTGCAGGGAGAACTGAGACCACGCCCCTGAGAGCCCACAACCTGTTCTCGGGGCGCCTCCTGCCACCACCTCCCCCGTCATCCACACCACACAGACACAAAGCACAGGAGAAATGTCCTAATTAAACCACATCTCCCGCCAGCTGAATCCCTTTCCACTATTTGCAATATTCTCTCACCTCTTATAAAACATGGGAGGCATTTTACTGAAAAAGATGGCAAAATCCAGCCCACTGTGATACTACGCTGCTTGTAGTGCTAACATGGGTTTTAAAGGGGAGAAGGTTTGCATTTGTGACTCAGTGGGGTCTGGAGGTGATCTACACCTTTCTATCAACTGTTTCCTGGCTTTCCTAAACTCCTTGAGGTGGTGTCTTGGAGTCCTTAGCCTCCCACCTGGCTGCATCTGGCCTAAGTGAAGTGAAGTGAAAGTCACTCAGTCGTGTCCGACTCTTTGCAACCCCATGGACTATACAGCCCATGGTATTCTCCAGGCCAGAATACTGGAGTGGGTAGCCTAGCCCTTCTCCAGCGGATCTTCCCAACCCAGGAATCGAACAAGGGTCTCCTGCATTGCAGGTGGATTCTTTACCAACTGAGCTAGGACAGCCCTAGCTGGCATAGAGCTTGGCAAGCAGGCAGGTGGAGACACCGAGCCAGGCTTTCTCCACATCGGACAAAGTGTCTGCCAGTGTGACAGGCTGACTGAAGACACGAGTCTCAGGCCAATGGTGAAAATGACTGGCCCACGTCCAATCCATCAACCATGAGAAAACAGACCTCCAACTCTGAAATTATGTACCAGCCACAATAGCCTCCAGCCCCTTCCTCCTCTCCCAGCCTCATCCCCAGGGAGCCAGCCCTGGTCCTCATATAGACCTCCAGGGCCTCCTTCTCTTCCCCGCTAGAGCCTCGAGCCCTTCTCTGGCTTGACTCTCCAAGCAGTGGTGCTGGCACAGTTCCCACTCTCCCGGAGTCTAGCATCTTCTCCCACCCCAACTCTTCCAGCTCCAGCTCTACCTACACAGCCTGCATCCTCTGGCAGCGGCCAGCCCAGCCTTTAGGTCTCACACCCCTCACTTCTTCTCTTGCCCCTGGCAGGTGTCTTCCTCACTGACTTCCCTGAAAGATCTGAGAAGGCATGATCTGTGAACACCCTCAATCTCCTCTCTCGCCTCCACTTCAGATGCCTCTGCCTCTTCACCTACTCCACTTGCTCCTGACACCAGGAAAGGATGCATGGGTTTTCTCCAAGGCTGAGACTGACAGCTGGGCTCTTGATCCTAACCCCATGGCCTTCTAGCACCCTCTCACCTTGCCTCCCTCAACAATCACTCTCTTTTGCATCTTCAGTTTCTCTGTCTCTACTGGGTCCTTATCCTGACTGGAAGTATGTGCAACTGTCCCTCAACCTAAAGAAACAAAAAACCATCCCCTTCCTTTGGCCTCCAGGGCTGAGGCAAAGCTGCCCCTGTGAGGATGAAACCTTCCCTTCTCCAAGTGGAACTCCACTTCACAGACTCAAAAGGCAGAAGAACTGCAAGGTCCCAGGGGGTCACTTGATCTGATGTCCAGAGATAGGGACATGAAGGCCCAAAGCCAGCCAGGCAGGGCAGGGACAGTGCTCTCTATGCCTTCCTCGCCCTTCTGGAATGTTGCCTTTTGCGATCCCCGCACACTGGGGAGACATTTCCTTAATGGAGGAGGGCGCGCCCTTCTGCCACGTGGGGACCGAGCGGAGGGCAGGGTTTAGGGCCATTTCAGTTAGTGTAGCCTCTCCTGATAAGCAGGAGGCCTTGCACTGCATTATTGGGTGGGGTTTCATTAAAGGGCTGATGCTCATCTTTGACAGATCGAGTCCTGCCATTGGTGAAGAGGCTCATGGCCCATTAAGCTCTGGGGTCCCTTCTAGTACATGAATCCTGTGAGACTTTCAATGCTATGGTAACTCTTCCCTGGGAACAGAATTCTCCTGTTTTCTGCATTTGTCACCACACTGCCTAGTAGAACCCAGGGACTCTTTTTTTTTACTTTTTATTTTATATTGGGGTATAGCCAAATTAACAATGTTATAAAAGTTTCAGGTGGACAGCAAAGGGACTCGGCCACATGTACACGGTTCTCCCCCAATCTCCCCTCCCATCCAGGCTGCTACAAAGCATTGAGCACAGTTCCCTGTGCTATATACAGTAAGAAGAACCCAAGAACCTCAACTCCTGGCCCTAATCTTTGGGATCCAGGCCCCACTATAACCTATAATCAGTTACCTGAATTATTGGAGTTGCTGTATTTTGCTGAATGCTCTTCACTATTTTCAACAGCAGATCGTTTTGACTTCTTTAAAAAAAAAGGAGGGGGTAGGAAGCAAAGAATGAACACACCAGAATAAAAACATTTTTAGGCACAGAGTTATAAACTAGCTACACACAAGGTCATATTGAGCTTCATAACAGTGAAGAAGCCACAAGCCAAAACTAAAGGGAGAAATAAAAACCAAGAATGCTGAGTTTACAATCTCAGGCCAACCCTTCCCCACAATTATAGTAAGGCCATCATCAGCCCAGCAAGCCAGGGAATTCTATGGTCCATTTCTCTGCTGACACTATTATATGGTTTTTGTTGAGAAGCAGCTAACCAGTCATCTGTAAAGTTTTAGCTTTCAGAAAGATACAGCACAGAGATCTGTTAAGAACTAGATGCACATCACTGACCTAGAACTTTCTTCACATGAAGTCAAGCATTCACAAGAAAGAATTCACAGAGACACCGGGCTTACCTTTCGAGCTAAAATCTTCCTCTTTTTCCTTTCTTCTTCAGATCCATGGTGAGACTGAGCTCTCGTCAGTCTTCGATGCTGGTGGATCTTTAAGAGGACACAGTTCACCACAAATGTAAGCATATCCTACGCTAATGAAAATTTCTACCATGTTTTGCCAAATCAAATTATCTGGATGAAAATGCTTTCCGTGCTCAGCCTCTGCCTCCACACTGGGTCTGGATGTCAGGAAGAAGAGTATGCCAGCAGGTGAAGACTGTTCCCTATCCACCCCCAGGTCCCTACCTGCCTTTTCCTCTCTTAGAGAAAACGAGTGTGGCCCCAGAACCATCAGAGTATGAAACATGGAGGACCCCCCCAACCACCCAGTCTGCCCTGATCATAAAGAGTGACCATCCTTTGTGAACACATTTCTTTCTGCCACAGGCTGAGCTCCCTGCAGGTAGGACTGTTTAGTATTCAGTTGTCTCATAGCACTGAACATGGAGCCTGGTCCAGAGCAAGTATGCAAGACATGTTTATGGAATGAACGATCAGTTAAAAGTAAATCACTGCGATCACCACAGCAGAGGATGGGGATGCTAAAACACCAAAAGGCAAAGAGGAACTATTAGCAGTTTACCTGTTTCTGTTCTTCAATCAGTCTCTTTTCTATACATTCTTTGGCAATTCTCAATGCCTCTTTTAACTTTGTGGGGATCTGAAAAAAGAGAAAGTACATAATCTACAGAGGAAACTGGCTGGAGGTTCTCTCGAGTCGTGGTTTGAACAAAGAAATGGTTGCTCATCAAAGAGGATTCCTGGAAGGAAATCACTTACAAGCTGTCCACTTCACTCCTATCCTGCCCACTTTTGCTATCCCCAACCCACTCACCTCATTAGCATTTTTCAACAAGAAGTATATTACTAAATGAACACATAAACATGATGGATATTTCAAGTATGTCAATTCTCAAGGGACCCCAAATTACCACAACGATCTTGAAAAAGAAAGTTGGAACCTAAGGCCTCACACTCCCTGATTTCAAAAATCTAATGCAAAGCTACAGAAAAGAGTGTGATACTGGCATAAAGACAAACAGACCTATGGAACAAAGAGACAGCCTAGAAGATGATGCTGTTAAAGTGCTACACTCAATATGCAAGCAAATTTGGAAAACTCAGCACTGGCTACAGGACTGGAAAAGGTCAGTTTTCATTTCAATCCCAAAGGAGGGCAATGCCCAAGAATGTTCAAAGTACTGCACAACTGTGCTCATTTCAAGTGCCAGTAAGGTTATTCTCAAAATCCTTCAAGTTGGGCGTTAGTAGTACATGAACCGAGAACTTCCAGAAAAGGCAAAGGAACCAGAGATCATTGCCAACATTTGTTGGATTATAGAAAAAGCAAGGGAATGCCAGAAAAACATCTGCTTCTGCTTCATTGACTACACTAAAGCCTTTGACTATGTGGATCACAACAAAAGTTGGAAAATTCTTAAAGAGATGAGAATACCAGTTCATCTTACCCGAATCCTGAGAAACCTATATATGGGGGTCAAGAAGCAAGAGTTACAACCAGATACAAAACAATGGACTGGTTCAAAATCGGGAAAGGAGTACAACAAAGCTGTATAATGTCACCTTGCTTATTTTAACTTACATGCAGAGTACATCATGTGAAATGCCAGGTTGGATTAATCACAAACTGGAATCAAGATTGCCAGAAGAAATATCAACAATCTCAGATATGTAGATAATACCACTCTAATGGCAAAAATGAAGAGGAACTAAAGAGCCTCTAGATGAGAGTGAAAAAGGAGAATGAAAAAGCTGGCTTAAAATTCAACATTCAAAAAACTAAGATCATGGCATCCTGTCCCATCACTTTATGGCAAATAGAAGAGGAAAAAGTTGAAGAAGTGACAGATTTTTTTTTCTTGGGCTCCAAAATCAATGTGGATGGTGACTACAGCCAGGAAATTAAAAGACACCTGCTCCTTGGAAGGAAAGCTATGACAAACCTAGACAGTGTATTAAAAAGCAGAGACATCACTTTGCCAACAAATGTCTATCTATAGTCAAAGCCATGGTTTTTCCAGTAGTCGTGTACAGATATGAGAGTTGGACCATAAAGACGGCTGAGTGCCGGAGAACTGATGTTTTCAAACTGCAGTGCTGACGACCCTGAGAGCCATTTGGACTGCAAGATCAAACCAGTCAATCCTAAAAGAAATCAAACCTGAATATTCAATGGAAGGACTAATGGTGAAGCTGAAGCTCCCAATACTTTGGCCACCTGATGCAAAGAGGTGACTTACTGGAAAAGACCCTGAAGCTGGGAAAGATCGAGGTCAGGAGGAAAAGGGGGCAACAGAGGATAAGATGGTTGGTTGGCACCACCAACTCAATGGACATGAATTTGAGCAAACTCCAGGAGATAGTGAAGGACAGAGGAACTTGGCATGCTGCAGTCCATGGGGTTGCAGAGTCAGACATGACTTAATTACTGAACAAGAACAACAAATTCTAAAAATTTAACTTTACAAAAGCTTTGAGTAGGTAATATGTAGTGATATGGTTCAAAACTCAGTAGGCATAAAAAGGGTATATCCACAGAAAAAAGCATCCCACCTAGTTCCCCTCCATGGAGACAACCACCACCACCAGTCTCGTGTATATTTCCAGAAAGAAAACAGACACACAAGAGATTAACATGGTTTTTAAGATCACAGTATCTTCACCACAGACACTCCGGCTTGCGGGAAGAACAAGGGCTAATGATAACGGCTGGGCTGGACTACTAGACTTGAGGAGAGTATATTTACAAGGCTGAATGCATTTCCTGAAGAGCTTCGGTAAAAAAGACATGAATTCCAAAGCTTTTCTTTCACTCCAACTTCATATCCAAAGAAGCTATTCTTTCTGCTGTGTGCTGTTCTTAGTCACTCAGTAGTGTCTGACTTTGTGATCCCACAGACTGTAGCCCACCAGGCTCCTCTGTCCATGGGGATTCTTCAGACAAGAATACTAGAGTGGGTAGCCATGCCCTCGTCCAGGGGATCTTCCCACTTAGGGATCAAATCCAGGTCTCCTGCACTGTAGGCGGATTCTTTACCATCTGAGCCACCAGAGAAGCCCCTTCTAACTGGCAAAATAGGACAGAAGAAAGACTCTCCCTTGCCTATAAAATCTTCAGACACCACCCTGTTTGGTGTTTTCTTTCTTTTTTTCCCAGTAAATTTAATTTCATTCTAAGATTATGGGTGTGTGGGGACTATAGAAAGGAGAAAGAGAATTACCCTTCATTCTACCCACCCAATGAAGAGTAATTCTCTTTCTTGATGAAAGTGAAAAAGGAGAGTGAAAAAGTTGGCTTAAAGCTCAACGTTCAGAAAACAAAGATCATGGCGTCCGGTCCCATCACTTCATGGCAAATAGACAGGAAAACTGTGATTGACTTTATTTTTCTGGGCTCCAAAATCACTGCAGATGGTGACTGCAGCCATGAAATTAGAAGACGCTTACTCCTTGGAAGGAAAGTTATGACCAACCTAGACAGCATAAAGCAGAGACATTACTTTGCCAACAAAGGTCCGTCTAGTCAAGGCTATGGGTTTTCCAGTGGTCATGTATGGATGTGAGAGTTGGACTATAAGGAGAGCTGAGCGCAGAAGAATGGATACTTCTGAACTGTGGTGCTGGAGAAGACTCTTGAGAGTCCCTTGAACTGCAAGGAGATCCAACCAGTCAATCCTCAAGGAGATCAGTCCTGGGTGTTCATTGGAAGGACTGATGTTGATGTTGAAGTTGAAACTCCAATACTTTGGCTACCTGATGCGAAGAGCTGACTCATTTGAAAAGACTCTGATGCTGGGAAAGATTGAGGGCAGGAGAAGAAGGGGACGACAGAGGATGAGATGGTTGGATGACATTGCCGACTCAATGGACATGGGTTTGGGTGAACTCTGGGAGTTGGTGATGGACAGGGAGGCCTGGCATGCTGCGGTTCATGGGGTTGCAAAGAGTTGGACACAACTGAGCATCTGAACTGAACTGAACTACCACCCAAAGGTCTTCCTTTGGCTCAGTGGTAAAGGATCTGCCTGCAATGCAGGAGATTCAGGAGACACAGCCTCAGTCCCTGGGTCAGGAAGATCCTCTGGAGAAGGAAGTAGCAACCCACTCCAGTATTCTTGCATTGGAAATCCCATGGACAGAGGGGTCTAGAGAGCTCCAGTCCAAATGGTTGCAAAGAGTCAGACATGACTGAGCACACTCGCAACAGACTACTCTCCAAAACAATGCTAAAAGTGAGTGCTGAGGGGGCCCAGCCTGTACTAGGTGTCCTGGGTCATGTCAGGAGTCCACTGGCAGCAGTCAGGTTTTACTCACCAACACTACATGAGTAAACACAGACCCACAGGACAGGTTTTTGCCCCTACATCAGCGGCTTTCAAATGGGGGTGATCTTGCCCTCCTCCCCTCTCTAGCTAGGGGACAGCTGGCAACATCTGGAGACAGTTTTGATTGCCACACAATGTGGAGGCAGAAAGGGAGCACCACTCCCCTCCAGTGGGGTCACAGGCCAGGGTGCTGCTCAACATCCCACACTGCACAGCGCAGCCCCAGCAGTAAAGAACGACCTGGTCCAAAGAGTCAAATGTCGTGGAACCTTTGGGAGGTGATTAGAGGCTATCACCAAAGCAAAGTAAGGCATCAACTTGGTTTGGGGGAGCTCTAAAGCTCCTGCTGTTTCCACAACACTGCATAGCATGGCTACTTCCCTGGATACTTGCTTCCAGTCCTTATTCTAGACAGAAGTATTTTTTCACACTATTTTTTTTTTTTGGCCATACCACACAGCATGTGGGATCTTAATTTCCCAGCCAGGGATCGAACCTGTGCCCCTGCATTGGAAGTGCAGACCCTTAACCAATGGACCGCCAGGGAAGCCCCTACATACTGCATTTGATATTCTGCTTTCCTCCCTCAGCCCAAATAATAATCACTTTCCATGCTACTAGAATGTCTTTGTAAATTTCACTTTCATTAGATAAAACACACTCAATCCATGTACTGTAAATTATTAAACTACTTCAAGATTGTAAAACATTTAGATTATTTTCAATTTTTCTTTATGTAAAACGAAGAATGTTGCTGGCCATTCCTGTTCCTCAAGGACTAAGCTGCAACCCACTGCAACTGCTCACCCCTGGGGGTTGGGGATGTAAGAACTCAAGGTGGAGAAAAACAGGAAAGCAGACCCTAGAGAGTTAAGATGCACACCTAAGGAAAATTTCAGTGACGCCAGATTCCTGCATCATTCATACAAAAAGCGATTAAAATCATTAACTGGAGATGTATGTCTTTGCGATTAGCAGCAATCTTTTTATGCTTGACAAATGGTTCTTCCAGCAAAAAGCTCATATATATCCTGGCTGCTCCCCTGTCTCTTCACTGTCGTTCCTTAGAGCTGTGAGAGAGGCTGTCCAGCTCTTGTCCTCACTTAGGTCCCCCAAAATCGATAAAAGCATGTTTTCCCACTCCACATCTATTATAAATACTGTATCTTCTCTTTATTGAATAAAAACCTAACTTTCCAAGAAAACATTCATGACACAAACCAAGAAATGGTATAATTTGTTTTACCTTAAACTGTGGCTTTTCGGAAGTTGTGAGCAGAACATCACTGAATAATCTGTAAAGAAACAGAAATATCTTTCTTAATTAAGGTGTACTTTCAGAACAGAACCAGAGCAGAATGAAACATTTTTAGCCCATAAGTACCCCCCAGCCCGGGTCCAACCTACCACCTCAGGTTTATCAATAAACTCAAAGGAGTTTCCAGGCCACCCACAGTGACCTCCAGGAACCCCAACTCCCCATTATTTCCGAGCTCAGCAGCTGGGTCAGCTTTGTGGGGGAAGTGACTTCCCCACTGAGGGGTAACAGTCTTCTCATGTAAATTAATTCGCATTTTGAAAAGAAATTTGCAAGTTACTTATTATGGTTATGAAAAGTCAAAGTGTTAGTCACTCAGACTTGTCCCAACTCTGTGGCTTCATGGACTATAGTCCACCAGGCTCCTCTGTCCACAGGATTTCCCAGGCAAAAATACTGGAATGGGTTGCCACTTCCTTCCAAGCCCGAGGCCCCAGGACTGCAGGCAGATTCTTTATCCCTGAGCCACCACAGAAGCCCATTATTTATATTATACTGCAATTAATATATGCAGCAGATATTTCTAAACAGAATGATTTTCTTCTTTTTTGTCCCAGAGGAGGATAAAATTTATTCTAAAGCTCAATATAATAAAAATGTGTGAGTAAGTAAAAGGGAATTGCTTTGATTGGAATCCAACAAGAGAAAATAATCTTCTTTTAAGGAAAAGTAGTGCTTCTCATGCTCTCTCAAGAAGAAATAGCAGCTTTTGGAGAATATCAATTCTCTCCTTGAAATAAAAAGAATAGTGTGAGGAATTCTGAACTGTTCTGACTAGTTATTTGGGCACTGCCCAAATGGTTCTGCCTAAGTCTTTCCTTGAACTGTCCCCCCTTTTGAAAAAGGGTAACTACATCTCAAGTAGAAGAGACAGGGTTAACTTTTCCCCACAGCGCTCCCTGGGAGGCCTAGAGGTGGACACAAAACTCTCTCCTTCAAGGCCAAGGGGTTGACTTACTTCCCAGACAACTCGTTTTTAACTAAGCAGAATTCACACCTTGCCAAATGCTATCCCAGGCTGAAGCCCACAGGATAGAAAGACTTAAGGAAAAAAAAAAAAAAAAATGGATTTGCTTTAGAACTGGAAGGCTGGGAGGAAAATGCAAGCACTTCGGAGCAGGGGGTGCAAATACAAACCCAAGTAAACTGACATGGATAGAGGCTGTTTCCTAACTACAAAGGCATGTGTTCTGTAAGTGAATGGTGAAAATGACTAGAATAATTTTCCCACTTTTGCACTGTTGCTGACTGTGCCTGGTTTGCAAAGGGATGCTCCAGCGTCAGTGAAACATTGAAAAGTCACATTCACGGGGCAGGGGCTTGGCTGCTCTGTACAGCGCATCCTCCCCAGGCCTCAGACTGGGACAGAACCCCTGGGACACAGGAATCTGAAGTTACACCGCCTCCCCTGAACTCGGGTTGTATGTACTTCCAGTTGTCCTTCCGCATTTCCTCATGTAATTGTCTCCCGAATACATCTGCTCACAGAGCACTGGGTACATCTCAGAGCACAAAATAGAAGCTGCGTAAATAGCACTTAGTAAGCACCTAAGTACCTGGGCCTGTACTAGGAATCATCTCAATAAACCCTCCCACCAGCCCTCTGAGGTGGAGACTATTACTATCCCCAATTATAGAGGAGGAAACTCAGCTTCCAGAGGTTAGGAAACCTGCCCAAGGTCACCTCGACAAAGCGCTAAAGCTGTGCCCACACCCAGGTCTGTCTAAACTCAGACACAAGCTTCTGAACTATCCTGCTGCCTTCTGTGAAGGAACAGAACATGCACCTTAAAAAAAGACCCCAAAGCACTATCTGACCCGCCTCAATTGACCATTCATCTCTAAGCCCCAGCACAGGGCCAAGTACATGTCAGACATCAGACACACGCTACCCAGCGAGGAGATGAATAAACACGTACAGGGGAGGCCGAAGCCAGTCAGCCCTCCTCCTGGAGGCCAGACCCTGCCTGACCAGTGACCAGCCACCGCTGCGGGCCACGTGATGAATGGAAACAGGGCTGCCCCCCCTCAGTACTTCCCAAGCGGGCGGCCGTCATGTGTCCATGTACACAATGCCAACGTGGACAGGGAGAGACATACATGAAGACACACGTGAAGACGACATGGGTGTGAAGAGAGAGCAGTCAGACTACGGTGAACAGGGGTCACGAGGAAAGGTCAGGATGTCACATGGCAAGTGACCACTGGCAAGCAGGCCACAGAGACTCTGTGGGGACCGCAGATGAGTCTCTACTGGGACTGGACACTTGGGCCAGTGGTCCGGGGCTCGACACGGTTAGGAAGGTTACAGCCAAGGCGTGGGATTGACTTACGGCATCTGCAAGAGCCGGGAGACGGTGGGCATGCCATTTTTACAGGCTTCACAAGACAGCGTGGACTCCAACACGGCCACTTGAAATGAACAGATACACATTTTAGTTCCACAGAACATGATGGCAAACCCACTTGGTGATGAAAAGTTTGACACCACTTCTCAACAACTGTCTGCGGGCTCATCAGGACAGTGTCAAAACTCTTCACGCACAGACAGATGGCATACGTAGTGGCAGGGGGTGGAGGGGGAAGGGGTGTTGCTGGAAATGCTGACAACTCCCGATGACTCAAAAAAAAAAAAAAGGTTCAGGAACCACATGCTGACAGAAAGCTAAGTATATTGCACAGATAATTGGAGGAAGGACTCAATATATCATTCATAAATGTGTTTGCTCTCTTAAAAGAGAAGTAAACACCACACATGAGTAAAATTCTGAACTTGAAAGACATGTCTCTGCTTGCCTGCTTTTAGTCAAAACCAACATATGAAGTGCCAACTGTTGGTATCTCACCATCCAACACCTTGGTCGGTGTAAACAAAAGCAGCCAGATTTTTTTTTTCATTCATAATTTGACCTCTCAGAAATAACTATTATTAACATTATGCTTTTTACCCATACAAATACACACATTTAATTCTTCACATATCCAAATGAATTCTTACTTTATGTAAAGAGATACATCCAAGGAAACTGAGGCAAACTTCTAAATTTAATATAGTACTTGGTTATACCATAAAAAAAAAATTATCACAAATGAAAAAGACATTTCATATAGAGCAAGTTTTCACAATTTATCGTTTATTACATAATAAATTACATAATATCATTTATTATGTAATAAATTATCGTTTATTACATACAGTCATCCCTCAGTCTCCAAGGACACTGGTTCAGGAACCTCTCCTTCCCTAAAGATACCCAAATCTGCAGATGCTCAAGTCTCTTATACAAATTGGTATATAATATTTGCATACAAACTATGTACATCCTCCCACATCCTTTATTTACAAAAGCAGCCAGATTTCCTTTTTTTTCCCTCTCTTTTTACTTGCAGATCACTGTTCCATTTCAGCTGTTCAAACTCAACCCAAAGCAGTCTCCAGGCCTGTTCTCTGGAACCATCGCACAACACAAAACAGACACTGGTGGAGGTTGACCCGACCGCGTGGAAGGCGCGATGTTCTAAGAGCTGCCCTGCCCCCCGCCACCCCTGCCCCAGGGGGGTGTAAGCTGGCTGTCGAGGGGAGGAAAGGGTCCCTGGGTGACTCTGCATCGGCCCTGACATCCCTCCTTCCTACAGGAGGCCCTCAGTGGTGCTGGGAGAACTCCTGGATCCAGGGTTTCCTGCCCACCTTTCCTAGCTCTGGGCCTGGCGGGCTGTCCTCTGCCGGGTGTCCAGCCTGTGGCTGTCCTCACAGGTCCCCCTCCAGCCTTGGGATACCTCCTGACTCTGCCTGAGTCCACAAGACTGGATGCAAGTTGTCTGCTCCTAGCTTCTGCTTCTACCTCTCACTAGGTCTGGCCATACTTCTCTTCACATCCTCTTGCTTCCAAAATTCTGACGCATGTTACAGAAGGGCTCTGAGATTTCAGACAGCCTGACAAACAGACGAGCGATCTGAATTTTCAGTGAAATACATTTAAGGAAGTTACTCCCGTAACTTCTACTTCCTGGTAAGACTCCTGGCTATGGAGCACGTTAACTTCCTCTGGACCTTCCCTGAACTCTGAAAAAGGGGGTGAGAGGCTCCGAGCATAACCAGGGCCCAGAAGACCCTTACAAACCCCATACTGACCCACAGCCATGGACGGTGCAGGAGGGAAGGAGTCTACAGGCACTGAGTCGGGCGGTCGTCCGTAAGTCATTTCATATAGTAAGTGGCCAAAGCAGTGGACGTCCACACTCTCCAAAGTCTGCAGAAGAAAAGATGGTAGAGGGCTTTGGCTTTGTGAATCCCTAGCCCTGGGCTTCCACTAAGAAACATGGCCCAGGGGCAACCCCATCCACAACTGGTAGTGACCACTCGAGGCCTTTTGTAAAAGCTCACAAAGCATCATTTTGACGAAAAGTCTTGGTCCTACCCTTCACGGTGGTGCAGTGAGGTTCTACTCTTCCTTGGCCCTGCTCAACCAGCCTCTCAGATACAGCAGTGCTGTGGGAGAGACAGGGACAACAGGCCTGCCTGCCCCAACCATACCCACCCCTGCTTAGCACACATTTCTTACAGGGACAGATCATGCATCCTGCCACGGGGATAACTTACACCTAAAAATAAGCCTGCTGTTTCATCACTTTCATCAACTTACATTGATCTTCCTGAACTGTGAGAAATACGATCGGTAGAAGGAAGGAAGGCCCAACAAGGAATTCTCCAGGTCCAGCAGCCGGCAGGTGTCCCCATCCAGCATCACGTTGGAAGCGTGAAGATGCCCATAAGGGAATCCCTTGTCATGTAGAAACTTTAGGACCTATAGAAAAGAATGAGGTGGTTATACTCCCCTCCAACTCATTTGATGTGAGACAGATTAAACTTTGCTTTTTCAGTCAATGTATTTTGAAACAAGATCAAACCAGTCACCAGGGCGATTCCTAAAGAAAGAGTACATGTCTGTGTATTTCTTTGGAACAGACAGACGCTAAGTGCTTTCCAGCTGTGGACACGCCAAGCAAAGCTCCTCATTTCCAAAGAACAGAGAAGCAGCCTGCACCTGCTCGGGTTAACAGCTCTGATGCCAAAAGCCTCTATCGTGAGCACTTTCTCTAGCCAAGCACCACAACCCAGCTCTCTTCAGGGCAAAGATCCTCCCGCACAGATGAATAAAGCTATCCTGCCAGGGCTTCTGCCAATTATTCAGGAAGAGGGGTTGAGCTGAAAACATCTCTAGTCCTGTCTCACCTCAGAATATATTTGGCTGTTTATTAACAGAAACACATGACAGTCTCCCACAAAAAGAAGCAAACTTTTCAGTTGCCATTTCATAAACAGTGGTTCAGCCAGTGACACAGACTGGATACAGCCCTCTAAAAGACCTGGTGAACCACAGCAGTGCCCTGCTGAAGCAGGTGCCCGGGATGATCCGTTGAGAACCAGAAGAAAAGTATTACAGCTTTTCTGTCTGTCTTTTTTTTTTTTTTTTTCTTTTGGTCTTGCTTAATCTCACAAGACCTCCAAAAATTGTTTGGTGGTGTACGGTTTCCTTTCTTGCTTCTACATGAGTCAGTCTGCACGGCAACAGCCGGAGACTAAGCTCAAGTAGAGGCAAGAAAGGCGGCTCAGATGTCTTTTGTTTTTCATTTATTTATTTTTAAGTTTTTTGGCCATGCCGTGTGGCATGTGGGATCTTAGTTCCTGGACCAGGGATCGAACCCGCCACCCCTTGAGTTGGAAGTAGGGTCTTAACAACTGAACCATCACAGAAGTCCCCTGTCTGTTTTGTTTTTAATCTCACTCTTTCTTAACTTATACTGGACAAAATACATTAATAATAGAATATATATAATATACATGTATATAAATTAAACATATATAACATGGGAGTGTTTACGCTTAAATTGTTTTCACTGATAGGTTTGCATAATCCAAGAAGTTTGGTGAATGCTTCTTTAGAGAGTGATGTGGGAAAGGCTTTTTCACGTTAGTTTCACTTCTGTAAGGGAGCCATATGGTTATGTATAGGATATAACAAAAGCAAGAATCTTGGCACAAAGATAAATCAACCAGAAATAACACAAAACTTGGTATTCACACAATAAAGTTCTTAAAAATCACATACTAGTTTAGGAATTTCCAATAGCTAAGCTTGTGGAACTGTGTTGGGTCTAGATTACTGCTTTAGTCTCAAATATTTGCTTTTGGGGGTAAAATATGACAATGCCACCAGTTTGTATGTGACCAGATAATCTCAACTATTTTAGATATTGCCTGAAAACGTTCCCAAAAGAATACTGTGATGCTGGGTGAAATTCCAATGCAACTTAAACAAAAGTCAGATACTTCTTACCTCTAATACTTGCCGCCCATATGTTTTTATTTGCTGGAGTTCAAGGCCTTGAACCTTCTTAGGGCTGCAGTACTTCTTCAGGAATGGGTCTTTCGGTTTTGCCTTTGGAAAGGAACACAGAGCACATAAGAAGGCAATAGAGGGGTTGAACTCTACACGCACATGGCCTCCTTGAACAGAGAGGACACATTAAGAGGCTGGGGGCATCAGACGAGTCCAGCTGGCAGGACATGGGCTGTTAAATACAGCAGCCTGCACAGTTAATAGAAAGAGGCTGACCAGGGTTCCAGCCTTTTTCTAGTCCAGTGAAGACATTCCTGGTCTTCACTTAAGCAGACCCCAAAGTCTTGTACACTGTTAGAATTCTTCAATATTGCTTTAAAAAAACAAAACAAACACATAGCAGTGTTAATTATGGGTTTCCCAGGTGGAACTAGTGGTAAAGAACCCACCTGCCACTGCAGGAGACATAAGAAACATGGATTCGATCCCTGGGTTGGGAAGATCCCCTGGAGGAAGGCAAGGCAACCCACTCCAGTATCCCTGCCTAGAGAATCCCATGGACAAAAGAGCCTGGTGGGCTACAGTCCACAAGGCAGCATAGAAACAGACACAACTGAAGTGACTTAGCAAGCACGCAGTGTTAATGATATTTATTATGTTGTGTTTTACACCTCTAGTATTTACCCATCTTGCCCTTTTAACTGTCTTCATCTAATTTCCCTTAAATATCCTCTCCTACCTCTGTTAACCACAAATCTGATCTCTTTTTCTATGAGTGTGTTTGTAAAGCTTCTCAGTATTCCTTTAACAAAAAATGTAAACTTTAAAACTGACCTAAGAGCAGCCTACAATCTAATGGATATAATCATGAAATGTTCAACCTTTCCTCATGTGGGTAAAGGAATGCTCTTTAGCCAAATTGGGTCGTTTCTATTGCTAAAATAAATATAAATTCCAAATAAAATTAAAATGAAGTCCTCGGGGCCTAGCGTCTAGAAGCTTAGGGGTCAAGTATCAGTAACAGGTTCTTAAGGGACTTGAGAGCTTTTGAAGACCAGGAACTTGCACCTCCAGTACCTTGTAGATCAGGTCCTTCAAGGTCCCTTTTTCATTAAACACTCTAATTAGCAATGCTGAGGATTCGTTAGCTGTGGCAAAGGTAACACGATAGATGTAAGGGTGCTGCCAAAACAAAAAAAAAAAAAAAGAAATTCACATTTAATCTGCATCAACATCTAGGTTCCTTTTAGATCCAGGATCCGGTTATACAGAATCAAGTGCCAGCGTGATAGTTTAATTGCACATAAATGCAGAACATTCCCTGAACACATGGTATTTTCAAGTCATCAGATGATCAATTACTAACTCATTTTTTAGATGGGAGAAGGAAGGTAAACTACAGTGATTAAGCGAAGTGGCTAGAAGTTAAGCTCTCCAAGGAAAGGTATCTGCTTTAATGTGGTCTCATAGTTAAGCGACAGTGTGGTGCAAGAGAGGGAAAGTCTGAGTTTTGGGAAAGGTGGTTTTAATATTCTGCCTCTGTAAATTGGTTAAAAAAAAAAAAAAAACAGCCAAATTCTAGAGCAGCCAAGTGGAACCCAGGACAAATGTGTCTCCCCTCACATTGCTGCCTAACACTCCACACTGCTGCCTAGTGATAAGCCAGGGAGCATGACAGCCAGAAAACAAGCAACAGCAGCGTCTTTGAGCATTTTGGACCTTTTCCAGGGCAGTGAGCTTGCGTCTTCCTGTCCCTCTGCTGCGGTGTGCAATGTGATGAGTGACACTGCCCTCCTGAGGGCGGACATGGGTGTCAACAAACCAGGGTGGGGAGTAAGACAAATCACTCAATGACTGAAAGAGAAGTCCTCATGTGACCTGGAACTGTGGATACATGGACCAACTGACCTCAAGTATTACAGTGGCCATGAGCTCAAAGGAGTACCAGGCAGATTTAAACCCTTGGGAGCTGGACTGTGTGAGGATTTGATGGGCAGGGGGATGGGAGAGGGTGCCCAAGGAAATAAAGAAAACTGATCATGAAGTTCCTCCTGATCATCACAGCAAAGCGATTGCTGCAGATATTTTCATGGCCTTACTGAAATACAATTCACATCCCAATATAATTCACCTGTTTAAAGTATACAACTCAATGGTTTTCAATATATTCAGAGCTGTGTGACTATCACACAGTCTAATTTTAGAACATTTTTATCACCTCAAAAAGAAACCCAATGAATAAACTAAAAATCCTTGGAATCCATACTGACATAAACAGATATAGGAGAACATGAAGCTCTTCCTTAGAGTAGAATGCCAACAAGTAAGTATAAGAGAAATGATGGCATTATAACATCTCTATGAATGCTACAACTAGTGGGTTTGATAAAGACTATACTACTTATATAGTCTCAAAAAAAAAAAAAAACCTCCCTACAATTGCTTATCAATTAGTTCTAGTTATTTTATTCTTTTTCTAGTTATCTTATAAAAATAACTAAGGATGGGTACAAATGTTCAGCTAAAATTGTTCACCATGGTATTTTTTAAATAAATAAGAGCAAAAAACTAGAAGTGATCCACATGTCTAGCGGATTAGCTGAGTGAACTGAGGTATGGCCGGCCAATGATAATTTTATGCAGCCAGTAGAAGGCAATGGCAACCCACTCCAGTACTCCTGCCTGGAAAATCCATGGGCAGAGGAGCCTGATAGGCTATAGTCCATGGGGTTGCAAAGAGTCGGACACAACTGAGAGACTTCACTTTCACTTCTCACGTTCATGCATTGGAGAAGGAAATGGCAGCCCACTCCAGTGTTCTTGCCTGGAGAATCCCAGGGATGGAGGAGCCTGGTGGGCTGCCGTCTATGGGGTCGCACAGAGTCAGACACAACTGAAGCAACTTAGCAGCAGCAGTAGCAGCAGCAATAATGATGTATTATATTGTATTTATTAACAACAAAAGATGTTCATGGGTATACCACTAACAACAACAACAATAAAGCTTTAGAACAGTATCTATATGATTTTTTTCAAAAATAATCATGTAAGAGAGTTCCTTGGTGGGCCTAGTGGTTAGGATTCTGGGCTTTCATTACTGTGGCCTTGATTCAATTCCCGTTCAGGGAACTAAAAGCCCCCAAGACACAAGGCGCAGTCAAAAAAACCATAAAATTCTAGAGAATAACAATTGGACATGACACTTTGGCCCATACTTCAGGTTACTTGGAATTATGGGCAAATTTTATTTTATTTTTGCCTATCTGTGCTTTCTGACTTTCTGCAATCAATATGCACCACTAGCCTTGCACGATCTTCTTTTTAAAAAAAGCATATCCAAGAAAAAAAAATTAGGATTGAGCATCACAGCCTGTGTGACACAACCTATCAGACTCAAAGACCACAATATTTTTCTCCACCAGGTATCATACCTCATTAAACGCTTGGTCTTGCTAGCTTGACAAGACATTCTCTTCAAAAAACAAATATCAACACTAACTCAATTATCTCTGGCCAGGTTAGTCTTTTCCTTAAGAATATCTGCATATATTCTGAAAGACATTCATGAGGTTCTTACCACTGAAAGCCTTGGATTAGAATCCCTTTTCCAGTTAATCTAAATCTGCATCAGTTCTGCTTTCTCAGGCTGGAAACAGGTCTCTCAACTCACTGATAATAAACATCCTCACCAAGAACAAGAGGCTCAGAGAACTGGGTGCTTTCCTACTCTGATGTTTGCTTAAAACACAAAAACAATATTTCGGGCTTCCCTGACAATACAGTGGTTAAGACTCTATGTTTCCATGGCAAGGGGTGCGGGTTAGATCCCTGGTAGGGATCCTGCATACCACGTGGTGTGGCCAAATGAATTAAAAAAATTAAATAAATTACCACATTTCGTGGGTGGTCTGGAAGTCATGAATGTCATTTAAATGGCCAACGGTCTGTGGGAGTAGCCCTGAGCACTTCCAGTCTGAAGAGAAATCTACTCTACCTCTCCATTCTCAAGCCTGGAGAGTGTTTCCAGCTCTCCTGTCCATGGTCACCCAACCACAAGAAAAACATTGTGAATCTGTCATCAGCATCAAGAATAACAGAAGGACTTGTACTCACCAAACAGGAAGGCAAAAGTTTGATTAGACACTGAAAATCTTTATCTGACAGATACTTGTCAGGACCAAGGTCAGCCTGCAAACATGGGAGGAAATATCAGGGTGCTGTTTTGGTCATCAGAAGAAAAATTCCTTACAAGCCTTTCCTTTTTTAAAAAAATCTGTCCAAATACATGACTATAAACCAAAGACGAAAACCACAGTAATTTGTGTTGCCTCATGGCCTTTATGGAGTATATAAACATACAAATACTAGCACCAAACTGTAATGTTACCTAATTCTATTAACCAAATGTATCACTAGAGCTCCCAAAGTGATAGATAAAACAAAAATAATGCCCAAGCATTTTTTTTAAAACAAACTGCCAAAGTCTCAGTCCTAAAGAGGTCCAAGAAAACTATTTTAAGCTGTTAGTATTTCTTTCCAAATGTTTACTAGCTGTTGAAGTGTAGTCACACTGATATTACCACATGCATAAACAAAGTGACTTAAAATGACTCTTTGATGTATGACTCTTTGATGTATGCTTTTACATCTCTCAGCAGCATAGTACAATTTTGTAGTTCTCTTGTCAGTTCTCTTGCTTTCATAAACCCACCTGAAGTCCCTGAAATTAGTCTAAAGCAAAACAAAACAAAATTAGCTTACCCAGCTTAACACTAGCCGTTCCTTTGGCTGATTTTTAATCTTCATCAAGAAATATTTCTTCCTTATCCTCCAACCTGTCATAAAAGGAGATGTGTTTATAGCTACATGATCTAACACCAACAGATTCTGTTTTACTGACCAAATAATTAATAAAAATTAAGTTGAGAAATATTATTCATAGCTATATAGGAAACTGTAAGCAATGACTTGGTAATACTGAAATGGTAAAAGCTGCACTAAAATAAATAAAAAAATAAAAGAAATTACTCATGGAAAAAGGAAAACAGCACTTCAGTTGAGATTTAATGGAAAAGATAAGAGAGGAATGAATGATGGTTCTGAAACTTAGTTACCACCATCCAAATCCCCAGATGCGTCTGTAACCAAGATTCATTTACTAATAAAAGTTAAGGACTGAATCCTCAAATAGTATGGAAACAGACAAAAAAAGATATCACCTGCATTTCTTATGCATTTCACCTGCATAAAAGCTTTTTTGGGATACTTATAAGAAAGCATGACAAAGAACCCAGTTCTGTGATCCTTTTTTTAACACAATGGGCACACCAGTTTCTCACCTATGTCTTTCAGTGGTTCTACCACCTCCCACTTTGGCTCTGACCGGAAGAACATGGAAACATGTTGTAAGGCAATCTCTGCAAAGATATTTTGCAAATGTATTAGACAAACATATCAGGAAAGTGCCATACACTTAAGATGTTATTCTTGCAAGTGAAACTCCTATGGTCTATGACCTTCTTTATTATTATTTTTAATTAATTCTTTATTATAATTTGGCTACACTGGGTATTAGTTGCAGCATGCGGGATTTAGTTCCCTGTCCAGCGATCGAACCTGGGCCCCCTGCATTGGGAGCACGGAGTCTTAACCACTGGACCACCAGGGAAGTCCCTATGACCTTTAAAAATTTAATTATAAAAAAATGAACACAGAGTAAATAAAACATGGGACTCTAGATTGGATCCTGGAACAGAATAACAACATTAATGAAATATTTAATGAAATCTGAATACAACTATAATTAATAGTAAAGTGTGAATGCTAACTTCTTAGTTTTGATATAAATGTATCATGCTTATATAAGATGTTAACATTAGGGGAAATTGGGTGAGGGCGTATATGGAAATTCTATACTACCACTGCCATTTTTTTTTCTGTAAATCTAAAATTATTCTACAATCAAAAGTTTATTAAAGAAAGTAATTAGTAACAGAATAATTAAACTGGAAGATCTAAAATATGCAAACTAGTTGTCTTAAGCAAGAATTCAATATATGTACCAGACAACAACTGGAGCACAAAACTCAAAATGTGTCCTAAGGTCACCCTGGAATAGCATTAAACATTGCTTCAAGTGGTATTTATCCCATCTTCATTCCTCATGAAATTATAGCTTTCACCAACAAAGAAGCGATTAGCCTTAAATATATATATTGGAAATACAAGCCAGTGTTTTAGAAAAACATCCATGCACAGCAACAACATAGTTCTGTTGTGGGAAACCACTGTACATCTGCTTACTGGAAAAAAAATATCCATTCTTCTCTTTGTGTTTATCATGAGAACGTTTCCCCCTTCTACGAAGACAATGAAAAGAGGAAATTCTTTAAAGTTCACTGTATGAAAAAATCATCAGAATAACTGTGCTTTTACATTTCCTGCAAAAAGGAACATCTGTAATTTGCTGTTTTCCCCCTCAATGTAGTGAGTGAATGAAAGCCATGTTGGATCCCTGAAAGCAAACAGCAATCCTGCAAATCCACTGTGGAACTGCACTTCTGCCAAGCATCAGTCACATCCCAGGCACCAGGGATTCAGCAGAAACGCTTTCCATGTGTTGAAATGACCTAGTCTGGAACCACTATGCCTAGAGCTTGGCAGACAGTATTATTTTGATATATTGTAGAGTACATTATCAATTAAGAGATTTGGGGAAGAAAACAATCTTATTGACTCAATATGCAAAGTGTCAGTGCTGTCTGCACCTAAAAGAACATGAGATGACAGATACAGAACAGACTCCATTGACATTTGCTTTAACTACTCCAACGTGACAACCATTTGGAGAGGCTGGGTGTGGCGGCAGCAGACGAATTTTCATAACCAACACTGGAAGCTCTGAAATTTTTCTGTAAGTAATGCTGATATAAAAGGCTTTCAGCATTTCCAAAATAACTTGAACGTAAGCTACTTCAAAAGATATTCTTTTACATGAAAATCATGACAACATTGAGAAGGATTATGAAAAATAATTTTCTAAATACGATACAGTCATTCTCAGAGACTTTAAAGGACAGTTGGTTCAGAACTAACAGTGACTCATAATCCCCTACAATCTCATTATTCCACCATGTTTACTGTATGCTACTGTGCATTGCACATTGTTTTTGGAATGGGGGAAGTAGGTGTGAGCAAATGGAACATGTTAAGATTCGTTAGTGACAAATTAAGAATTAGAAAATAGCTTTTTTTTTCTTCTTTTTTATCTTTGGGATCAGGAAATCATAAACAGGACATTTTCTTTCCTCTGAACTAAGACTTATTCTCAAGTAAGCCACACAACCACCATGCTCCCAATATTAATCCCTTCCCTCCCCAGATTCAGGTAACATATTTCAATCCTAAACATCTTCTGCTTAGAAGCCTTTGTTGGCGCCCTATGTCCTTACCAGTTAGGACCAAGCTTCTAAACCTCACAGTGTCCAACCTAGCTCTGGCTCTACATCACCCTTCTGTCTTTAGCCCCCTCCCCCCATCCCCACCGCCCAGTAATGTGTGCGCCTCACACTCCTGTCACCGAGTGCGCACATGCCATGGCCCCTGAAGACTGGCCTACCCTAATCCTCAGCATTCTCTATCCCTGCCCATCCAACCTTTGAGGCTCAACGCAAACTTGCTGCTCCCCTAGCCAGGGCTTCCTCCCTTCTCCCCTCCTCTCTACACTCCAGTGCTCCACATGGCCCTCTCCTGTGGCATTCTGTCCTACTAGTCTTCCACGAGACTGTGATTGTTGGCTTTAGAAAGAAATATCTTAAACATGGCAGAGCCCACAGCCATAGGGAAATATTTACTTCTTTCTCTCCTGGAGTACTGGCCCTTGCCTCTTGGCCTAGCTAACATCTACTCACCTCAGGTCTCCACGCGAGTGTCACCTCTTCTGGGAAGCCTTCCTCCACCCTCAGAGCTGGGTCATCTCCACCTGGACCCCCACCCTCGAGGTGCTATCACGACTTTAACCTGGCACAGTCTTTACCCATCAATCTCCCTACAGAAGTGCCCTGGGGTAGGAGTTGGGTTAGGAGACTATTCCCTGCTTGGTGCTGCAATCATAGTACCTGTCACATAGCAGGTGCTCAACAAATATCTGATGAAGTAAGAACTAACTAAGGGTTCAAAGGGCTTCCTAAATAGCTCAGTAGTAAACAGTCTGCCTGCCAACCAGGAGATGTGGGTTTGATCCTGGGTTGAGAAGATTCCCCTGGAAAAGGAAATGACAACCCACTCTAGTACTCTTGCCTGGGAAATCCCATAGACAGAGAAGCCTGGCAGGCTACAGTCCATGGGGTCGCAAAGAGTCGACCATGACTGAGCGACTACACCACAGTAGCAAGGGTTGATTGTATGCGCAATGGGTATAGACACATTGCACATCTCATGAGCACATGAAATCCAGGAAAAGGAAGGCATCTGCCCTCCATTTCATTAGCACTGACTGACGCATGGGGGAAACTGCACGCTCTCTAGACGCTGACAAACAAGCCCCAGACAGGAAACGCAGAGTGACGCCTTCAAGTCCACCTGATGCTCCCCCCAGAGCTCAGACTTCTCAGCTCAGAAAGTACCAGCTGCCCCCACTGTGTGCAGCCTTTGACCCCCTAGATCTCAGCCCCATGAAGTGACTGCAGGGAATACAGACTGCTCCTCTAGTTCCTCAACTGGGCTCCAGATTCCCCCCACTACTGTAGCTGGTATGTTACAGCAAACTGCAGCCTTTCTGAAGCACCTTGCTCTTGTTCTGAATATAATCTCACCTTCCCTCCCACCCTCCCCTCCTGTCCAAACCCTCCCTCCCTCTTCCACTCCATCCTGGAGCCCACTACTATCTGACCTGTTCACAGGACTCGTGGGATTTTAGAGCTAGAAGAGAACATTGGATGCTATCTGGTCCACTCTCCCCACCTCCACCTCTTACGTTATCAGTCAGGACCCTGAGGACTACAGCGTGGAGAGGCTGCTGCTAATAAGAAAGCTGGGGCCAGGATGCAGGCCTCTTGATTTCCGGTCCAAGTGACTTCTGCATGGACATTAAAAAGCTTATTTACGGAGTGGTTTAAGGTGGGAAGATGGCTACAGTGCAGTGATTGCTATACCTTGCTAACAAGATGAATAAGGTGATGTGTGTGTATGTGTACATGTTTCTCAATATAAACCCTGCATGACTGGCCAGGAGACAACTGATTTCCCTGTACAATAGCTGGCCCTCAATTAGACTTTTTAATTCAAATGAACAACCCCAAACCAACCCTCAACAAAGCACCAAGGACCCATATTTCCTTTCAGTGAAGTTGGTAGTACAAACAGATTGGATTACCAGACCATCTTATCTGCCTCCTCAGAAACCTGTAGGCAGGTCAAAAAGCAACAGTCAGAACCAGACATGGAACAACAGACTGGTTCAAAATTGGGAAAGGAGTACATCAAGGCTGTAGATTGTCACCCTGTTTATTGAACTTCTATGCAGAGTACATCATGTAAAGTGCCAGGCTGGATGAATCACAAGCTGGAATCAAGATTGCCGGGAGAAATATCAGCCTCAGATATGCAGATGATTCCACCCTAATGGCAGAAGAGGAGCTGAAAAGCCTCTTGGTAAAGGTGAAAGACAAGAATGAAAAAGCTGGCTGAAAACTCAATATTCAAAAAACTAAGATCATGACATCCAGACCCAACACTTCATGACAAATACATGGGGAAAACACAGAGCAGTGACAGATTTTATTTTCTTGGGCTTCAAAATCACTGCAGATGGTGACTGCAGCCATGAAGTTAAAAGATGATTGCGCCTTGGAAGGAAAGCTATGACAAACCCAATCAGCATATTAAAAAGCACAGATACCACTTTGCCCACAAAGGTTCATACAGTCAAAGCTATGGTTTTTCCAGTAGTCACATACAGATATGAGAGTTGGACCATAAAGAAGGCTGAGAGCCAAAGAACTGATGCTCTCGAAATGTAGTGACGGAGAAGACTCTTGAGGCTGCCTTGGACAGCAAGGAGATCAATCCAGTCAATCCTAAATGAAATCAACCCTGAATATTCATCAGGACTGATGCTGAAGCTTGAGCTCCAATACTCTGACCACCCGATGCGAAGAGCTGACTCACTGGAAAAGACCCTGATGCTGGGAAAGATTGAGGGCAGGAGGAGAAGGGGACGACAGAGGTTGAGATGGCTGGATGACATCATGGATTCAATAGACATGAGTCTGAGCAAACTCCAGGAGATAGTAAAGGACAGGGAAGCCTGGTGTACCGCAGTTCATGGGATCACAAAGAGTTGGACACAACTGAGTGACTGAACAACAACAAAAACAAAAGGAAAGGAATAAAAGTATCAGAATCGCAGGCTGGGGTC